TTAAAAACATGCATTTAGTCCTCTCATAGGACAAGCTCGAAGAAAAGGGTACCAGACATTGACAGACCTAGAGGACCAGAGGAAAGTCGTCCACTTGGAGAGACTTTCGACAGTTGGAAAAAGTGTGACTGAAGGGAGTGTGGTGAAAATGCAAATACGAATGCAAGATGAAAGGGAGCAATCGCTAATTGCAGCATGCTCAAGACCACGTGTATCGAATATTCGTTACCGAGAACAATCAAAGCAATCCTAAATGTGCATGTGAGAAATCGTTAGATTTATAGAGCTGTAGGATTTGTAAAATATTCGAGGTAAATTTAGCAAAATCGTATATAGTTCCATGCGTTCATCTGAATCGGTCATTGTATCTTGCAATAACATTTACTGGCTTAAAATAATTACGTCTACGTTTATTATTACCGTTAGTTTTAGCCACTGCTTAATTTATATGCAAAGGGTGATATTTTGGCTAGCAATGCATCCAAGAGCAAGAGCAAGAGCATGACTTGCATGACATATGGTCTCAACAAGACGGTGCCACATGCCACACAGCACGCATAACAATGGACTTATTGATAGGCGAGTTCGGTGAACATTTTATTTCACTTTCGGGACCGGTCAATTGGCCGCCTAGATGATGCGATTTAACACCTTTAGACCATTTTTTGCGGGGTTACGTTAAATTCAGCGGCCGCGGTAGCCGAGTGGTTAGTATTTTGTACTACCATTAGGAAGGCTCGGGTTCAAATACCCGTGCAACCAACATCCAAAAGTTATAGAAAATTTTCTATTTGCGGTCGCTCCTCGGCAGGGATTGTCAACCCCTCCGAGTATTTTTCTGACATGAAATAAAGCTCCTAATAAAAAACCAAGAGCCTTTCGGAGGCGGCCTAATATAAACTGTAGGTCCCTCCATTTATTGGAAAAATATCAAGAAGCAAAACCACAAATTGAAGGAGGAGCTCGGGGGAAATTGTTTCAGCCGTTACAAAGCGACAATTATATTATATTGTATATATATATGTTAAATCTAATATCTATACAGACAAACCCGCTTCAATATGATGAATTGGAGAAAAACATTAAATCATTTATTCGTGAGATACCGGCCGAAATGTTGGAAAGAATAAGCCAAAATTGGACTAAGCGGATGGACCATTAGAGGTGCAGTCGCGGTCAACATTTGCATGAAATAATCTTCAAACATTAAAATATACCGATTCTAATAAAGAGTTCATGCTTTTTCTGAATTTTATGTGTTTTATTTTTTTTTTTTTAATTTCTTATATCTCTTAAAAAATCACCCTTTATTAGTATAGCAAATAGCGGGTCGTGCAATAAATATTATAAAATTGATATAAATGCTCAATGGCACGTTTATATCATTTTTAACAGTAGCACAACGAGCCGATAAGCGTTGATTAACAATTAACCGATCAAAGGAACCGCAAAGAGGACAAGTAACACCAACACTTTACATAAATACATGCATATATACGACTATATGTCTCTATAATTTTTGGTGTGCTAACGCGCGACAGCGTACGCACCTCTCAGGCCCTTGAGTTGTGTTTCGATAAATACATTTAGCAATTATAGTACATATATGTATATGTATATGTATGTATATAGGCATATAAAAGTATACGAGTATATATGTACTTTCCAACGAATTAGTCAATATAGTTGCTGAAACTGTATTTTATTAGATACAAACAGTAGATGGGAAATAAGTTATGCTTACATATGTACATATGCATTGTACATACATACATATATACATACATTTATATATGTCATAAAAATTAATTTGAATATTTTTTATTGCTATTAGACATCTGGGGAAAAATGGAAGCTTTGCAAGAGTAGCAGTAGCGGATCCAGGGGGGAAAAGGGTTCGGTTCCAATATCTATTGTCAAAAGCACAGACAATAGAACATCGATCCAGATAAGACACTATCTAGTGGCTCAAGTGTTAGAACAAAGCTTCGTTTCAGTATAGTCATAATCTGTTTCGACAGGTCTCAGATATATAAACTATATAAGACTCGCTCGGAGGAATGCCCAAAATATTTCCCAACCTAGACCCGCCTCTACCTAACGTGTGTCTTTTCTAATTGCTGCCACGCTTAACTTCGTGAGCGCTTGTCGTTTTTGGGCGTCGCGTCGTATCGCGGCGAGTCGTCGCTGCGCATAATGCTTCATATAATTAATTAATTTACATCTGAACTTAAAAGTAAACCTTTAACAACTGACGCTTTGTGCCCGCGGAAGCGATTTGCGGCCAATTCCCACCTCCAATTCGTGATGTGCTGATATTTTAACAACAATTGGAGAGACCTACAGTTTATTCTAAACCCCTTCTGAAGGGCGGTACGCTTTATATGAGGGGCATTTTTCAAGTCAGATATACACTCGGAGCGCTTGACTTTCCCAGCTGTGGGGCCAGCGCAATTATAAAAATTGATTTTCTCGGACGCTGCTTGACCCAGAACCACCCGACTATTATGGCTGTCAAGCTAACTCTTTTCCAGTAAAAAACTAATTATCTGAATCGGAACAATGGCACTGCTGTTAATATGTTTCATCCAGCCAGTCAATTAATTCGAATTGCTTTGAAGATGAATTTAACATCTGAAGCGTAGGAGTTTTCGAGAAAAATACTTCGCAAATGATTCGTTGAACCTCCGAACGGGATATACGACGTCATTGACACATTTACTTTAGTAAATTATGAGTTGACGGCCTCGCGAGGTTGAAAGGGGGAACATTTACAACCGGAACCTCAACAGTCATCGGTAGAAGATCGTGGTCAAACATCTAAGCTCCATAAGAAGTTTCGCAGAGTGGTGTAATATTCCCGCTTTTGTTTAATTTCTACATATCGAAACTCTGATGCCGATGAACGCGAATGATTGATGATGAGCAATGCTCGAAAATGAACTGCTATTTTGCCGATCTTCCCCACTATCTCAGTGCACGACAACTACATCTACAAACCAGCAACATTCTCTGCCAACCTCATCACCAGCTGGACGAAGGAGTACCGGCTTCAACTCAATGAAAGTTTATGACATCAAATTCCGACAGTTAATAAGCCCAAGCTATTGGGAACCACATTCCACAGCCTGTACTCATTTAGTCGCAACAAAAATCTTCATATCGCTAACAAGTAGGTAATTAGCCAACCGATCATTAATTATTTTGCACCAGTCTGTTAACACTGTTCATGAACTCTGTTTTCGTGAATAGCGTACTCGGAATCCAGACTAAGAGATCGAGCTGCCATGCGGAACCCAAGTAATACAGAGCACAGCTACTCGCCTTTCTTTTCTACTTATACAGACTTTACTTCGACATACTTAACGTAGGTCCTGTGTGCAATGAGACTACGTACGACACTAACCGCCTCTTTACACGCCTATAAAATAAACTTATCTCACACCACTCTCCCACTAGTTCGAACCTGTCGAAACGGTATATCCCGTTAGATGACTTCAACAACAACAATAATAATAATATGGCGGCTACGCTAGCTAGGGTTTGATATACGGTGGAATGAAAACAGTCCAATCTTCAATGATTTCAATGCTGTACCCGCCGGTGGAAGGAGAGACAGACACTCCATTAGAAAGATCAAGTGAAGAGTGACCTGGTCTCACTTGACATTTCTGGTATCTTTATATTCACAATACTGAGTTATTGCAAATAACCGTTAGCGGATCATATACCTATAATTTATTCGGAGTATACAATACAAAATTGATTTGAGCTAGAAGTAAGTATTTTTACCAGATCATACATTATCAATTTCAAATACTACATATACCTGTAGAATATACCAAACAAAATATACTGATAAGTATGTAAATACATAAGTCTATACATACATACATACATACAAAATCGGCGAACAAAGGAACCTATTTTGATTCACTTCGTGACCTCCACCCGGCCGTGACTAGAGTACTCGCGGACATCTCAGTCGAAGTGTTCCAGAAATGTTACGACGCATGGAAAACGCGCTGGTATCGTTGTATAGCTGCCCAATGGGATTACTTTGAAGTGGCTGGTAGAGTTGTAGAATAATTATGAAATATATGGTTTTTATGGAATCAATCTCATTACTTAATTGTTACACCTCGTAAACGCAGTCATGTTCCACTACACTGGAATATTTTAACGGCTTGCTGAGCTGCTGGCAATGTTCGATATTTCTGGGTTGATGGCGTACTTACTTGACAGCACCGAAAGATCATTCATATTTCCAGGAAAACTTTTTGGCGCTTTAAAAACGCTGAAGTGATTTTCGGTAGAGCTACTCACCGAACTCCAATAAATGTAGCTACCTACAGTTTATTCCTAGGCTTTCGACAAAAGACTAACGGATTTTTATTTTAGAACTACCCACGGAGGGTTAGACATTTCCTTTCTAGGAGTGTCAGTAATTAGAAAAAAAAATCATTTTGGTTTTTTTAATTAATTTTCTCCAATTTTGGTTTTATGTCTGACCAAAGCTGAATTCTCCTCCAATTTTTTTATAAGCGTCTTAAGGTTTTTTCCAGCCTTCCTTAAATTGCCTTCGAGTGGCTGATGGGTGTTTACACGGAGTTGTTATCACATGCCAGAACCATAATTTTAGACTCGAACCCTGGCCTGCCAATGGTGGTAAGCTATGGGAGATAGCGACGTTTGCTGGGAACTAAAATTTAATCTTGACTTGTTTTTCCAATGGAAAGTTGTTTTAAATTAATTCACCACAAATACAGTATCGAAACACTGTACGTCGATATGTACATACGTGTATGATCTGCGCTCTTACCTTCAACAGTAGCACAACACTGCACGTCTTATCAGTAACACCCATTGGACACTATCATCAATTGTGCGATACCTTCAACCATTATGACAACTAATATTATTAATAAATATATCTATTACCTGCACATTATCATTATTGTGCTCGGTACTCGTACTTTGTATGGAAATCTGATTTGGCACAATTTATTAGTTCTCGACAACTCGTTGTGTGCGGCTCGTCGACTTCACTTCAATTTTGGCCGTTCGGCATGATTCGTTGTCGTTGTCGGTTGTAATCGAAAGTGATCGTTAAGCAATGAAAATTACCAATCAGTGAGGATACGCTCGAAATATGTAATACATAATTTGTTATTTGACATACATATATACAAATGTGTTGAAGTGAAACTTTTTGCTTTGAAAAAAAAAAAACTTTAAAAAACTTGACATCTCTTTCGTAAACAATTTTAACGAGTTCGCGTGTTTTAAACTATGGAAACTACAATTACAAAACCAACTATCAATAGAACATCGTTTTCCATTGCCAATATATTGGAGAATAAAATGTGTCCCGCACCGCCCTTAGCGCACAGCCATCCACAAGGCAACACACACTTTCAATTGCAAACAAAAGCAATTAACACATCAGCACCAATCCCCTCCTCCTCCACAACAACAATGCACACAAACTCAAATGCACAGTCACTGCAATCACGTGTTGGTGAGCCCTTGCCACCCACAATCACCAGTCCCATGCACACAACAGCTTTCACGACGCTTCCGCCCGAGGCGCAATACGCTTTCAAGAATTTTCTACTCAAAGGTGGTGGTCACCATGACACAGTTAATGGTCCTCTGCTGTCCTCACCCGCCTCACTGCGCTTCGAACCGGTTTACGATCCTGCGTCGTTGATCTACCAGCAGATGTTGAATATGCAGAAAAGCTCAGCTCTATTCATGCCACATTTCCAGGCGGCGGCGGCAGCAGCTGCCGTCTCGCCGACGGGATACTGTGAACAGTACAATCCATTTTTGGAATGCGAAGGTTGGTGATTGCATACAATAAATTTATTTTACTTAAGTACATGTACATGCAAACATATTTCAAAATTAAAATTTTATTTTCAAAAATTTATATTTTTATTTTAAATCATTCGCAACTAAATTTTATAATAATCAAAAAGTGAAAATATTTTAAATCAAAGTAAAACAAGTAAAAAATTATAAAATATTTTCTCTAACATATTTAGTATCATATATAGGGTTATCCATTTTGGGATTTCAAAAGTACAGTGCTATATTTTGACATCTGTCAAATTTAACTGTCACACCAAACATGTTTTGTTTGGTTAAAATCTAGGCATTCATGAAAATGGATCGCTCAACAATCGCAAACCGCGTTAAAATCGTTAAAACTTACTAAAAGACGGAGATTACGGTGCACACAACCGTCCACCTATTGAAGCTTTTGGTAAAATTTTAAAGAAATTTGAAAATACTGAGTCGTTTACAGATATTATAAAGCCTGTGCATCATCGGTGCTGCGCTCGTTCACACGAATGTGTCTATGATCTTTTCAAGAGATGGAGCTTTCTTACAGGGTGGCATATATTGCACTTGGACTTACACCTACATCCATATAAAGTCCAGCTAACACAACAACTGAGACCAGCTGACCATTCACAACGCCGTACATACGTCGAATGGGTGTTTGAATTTCTGCAGCGACGAAGCGCTCGGGGGATATGCAAATAAGCAATATTGTCATATTTTGGACTATGAGAACCTTTAAATGATAGAAGAGATGCCTTGGCACGCAAAAAAATGTAGTGCATGCCGCGCTATTTGGTCCGGTGGTGTGAATGGATCTTACCTCTGTAAAAACGACAGCGGCGAGGCTCTCACTATCAATGCGGAGCAATAACGTCGTATCATAACCGACTTTTTCGGACATGCTATTGAAGGATACGATTTGGACAATATGTGGTTTCAACAAAATGATTCCACATGCTACACAACACGAGCGAATATGGCTGTATTACGAGAGAAACTTCCGGGTTGAACGTGTGATTTGACACCGTTGGATTTTTACGTAGCCCAGAAAGGGCGTATTTATCCGGAAAACCCCTTAACCCTATAGCACTTGAAAACCAATATTCAAGCACTCCGTGGGTATTTCATATGTGAATTTCATACGTGAAATAAAAACCCCTAATAAAAATCCATCAGTCCTTGAGAGGCAGCTCAAAATAGACAATAGGAGGACCCTCTATTTGCTGGAAAGCTATGTTGGAGGGGGACATGTGATATAGTCTTACGATTTCTAGAATTTTCGGTGTCAATACTTATATGTATAATCTCTAAAATCTGGTATAGTCATCCGATCTGGCCAGTGCCGATAAAAGAAAGTTGAAATATCTCAAAGACTGAGCTAGTGTGCAGACAGACTGACAGTCGGGCATGGCTAAGTCAACTCAATTTGTCATTCTGATCCGCCCAATATAATATTTCCTTATGGAACTTATACATGAAGCTTTTCACAGTTGCACATCAAAAGCTCGGCTGAAAAACGCTTCAGCCGTTATAAAAGTAGAATTAAAACTACTGCTTGTGCTTTGGCGTATCGCGCTATTCGTTTCTTCTTTTCGCAGTTTGACGCAAGTTGAAAATTCAAAGTGAAACCAAATCGCTCTCCGCCCTTTTCCTTTCAACGAAGTGGAGGTCTTAGTTTGTTTTTTTTAAACTACTGCAACGAATACTTGAAAAGCTGTAGTGCCTTCATCCATTCGGATGACAAGACCTAGCCGTCTCTTAATTCGTTAAATTATGTCAATGTCATCGTCTCATCGTCTAACTAGACAAATCGTGATAGACAGAACTAAGTCTCCGCTCCTTCTAAACCGGATCTTCAAAATCATAATAGCCGGCGTAATATACGAACACTGACTTTTGGGGCGTGTTATCGTTTTCCCGGAAGTTTCTGCTTCAATTGCCTTGCAGAGCATGCATCGAAGAGGCGTCATTAATGTTCAGCATTTCACAAAACACAACAAGTATTTAGGGTACCGTGATCAAGCTACCTGTTATACTAACTAACTAACTTCTAGCAGAGGAAGTTTCATTGATGTCATATGCCAATGATTGCTCGATATTGGCATTCGACCACCTCTTTCCTGCACGACAACCGCAGCACTGTTGGTATGCTACCATCGAGAACACTTCGGCATATATTTACTTATTTGAGGCTGAATCTCTACCTAGGGAGTACTTTACTACACAGTCTCCATTCAACACTATAGACAAGAAACGTTGGACAGGACGGCGTACTGACTTCTTGTACTCTCAGCCATTGCAGACAACTGGTAAAATTAAGAACTGTTTATTATAGTTATCTTTATTCCTACCTATCCAGACTAAACCCTCACATACCCAACGTAATATGTGCTGCTTGCAATTAGACCCCAGATGACACCTATCACCTATTTGTATGCTCCCTAAAACCTGCTCATCTCACCGACAGCTCAACCGTCGATACAGCTTGCTTCTTGGACCTACCGTTAGACTAGTCTCTCCTGATTCAGCTAGTGGTTGGCTAGCCGCTACAACAACAACAACCACAACAACAACAACAACAACAACAACAACAAAACAATAATAATAATAATAATAATAATAATAATAATAATAATAATAATAATAATAATAATAATAATAATAATAATAATAATAATAATAATAATAAAAATAACAACAACAACAACAACAACAACAACAGTAACAACAACAACACCAACAACAACAACAAAAACTTAACCATCCATTGAATATTAGTGACAATGCAGCCGACTTAATATTATCAACATTTTTGCCTATCGGAATCGCAAACAAATTTAAACCTAAATTCTCCGGTACTGTTTGCCCACCAGAAACAATATTTCCCAATATTCCCCAAGTCATTATAATTAACCGTATTTTCATTTGGTATTATATTTAATATTTACCTTCCGCCGTTTGAAAATTTCAAGCAAAGCAAAAGCATACGCGAAGCAGCTTTAAGCTAATCCTCAGTTTTAAAATGTCAAAGTAGAGGTCATGCATAGCACATTTAATTCATTTTTAATACTTTCACATGCACCAAGCCCATTTATTCTTAAAAATTACTTAATACCAGACTTCCGTCAACCACTGACTGATTGTTGATTATAAATTTTGTTTTTAATAGCTTGAAATATAACAAATTACTAATCGATATTATAAAATATATTTGAAAAAACTGCCTTTATCAGCTAAATCAGAACTTCAAATATAAAAAAAAAAAATTAAAAATAAAAAATTAAAGAAATAAAGAATTTTAGCGATAAACAAATATGAAATGAAGTGAACTGAAAGGAAGCAACAACAAAGAAAGAGATTTCGGGTGTTCATGTTCATGACAAATTAAATTGATCATTAAACCTAAAATACAATACAAAGTATACTCGCACATACTTGTACTTGCACTTATGTATATACATATGTACAGGTGTTTGTGATTAGTTCGTATTATTTATTAAACGATGTTTCATTCAAGTGCGCAGATAAGTTGAAGGGCAAAAATGGGTTTTTTTTATATATTTTTTTTTTTTTTTTTGGAAATAAAAGTGCGGTGGGAAATTAAAATTTCTTACTTTGACAATATGTGTATGTAGGCATGTATTATGATAATGATACCTTAATTTCGTACCAAAAACATGAAAAGCAAAATTTAAACACTTTTAATATTTCGAAATACCAATAACATTATCATATCAACGCTTATTAATATATATGTTTAATTGATTGTATGCTCATACATGCCTCGCTTATCTACCATTGACGGTATCACTGATGGACAATACATTATTAATTGTTGTTAATAGTACTTTTTAGTTTAGAGATAAAGTAAATTTAAGTTATTTTGAACATTTCTTGGTATAATATTTTTTTTTTTTTATTTCTTGGACTTTTACTTTCACCTTTTTGAGGTATTTATACCTTTCGTGTAACTGAAATGGTATATTTACTTAGATCCGTAGATTGTAAGTACCACAAGGAGAAGATATAGACCCATCGAAATTTATATCAATCGGGTCAGAGTGACCTACATACATATGTCCGTTCGCCTTTCTGTCTATTCCTACGCAAACTAGTCACATAGTATCCTCCGACAAAAGCATGAGAATTAATATTTAATACTAAAATGAAGTACATAATTTTTATGCGGGCATGAAAGAAGTGCGTTAAGACAGCTTTTTTTCATTTATTTTTAATATTTTTTTAATTTTTTTTTTGTATTTTGGAAATTTTATGTATGAAGAGGTATAAAATTTGGAAGATAATTAATAAAAAAAATGTAAATCTCATTTCTTTATTATATACAGCAATAGGCAAACAAATTTACCCTGAGCGTCTTGCTGTTCATTTCAACAAATGAACTCGCCCTCGCACAATTTTATTTTCATGAGGAGCTTTGATTTTCTTACAACTAAAAAACTGATTATTTTTTAATTAGCATTCGAATGTGAGTACACACTGCTAACTACTCGGCTTTTGCGGCTGCCAGTGATATGCATACAGGGTTATCCATTTTGCGGTTTCGAAAAAAAACATAAACGTAAAAAAAAATTTACATGAAATTCCTTTTTTATTATAATTTTCGAGCTTTGACTTTATATATAATATTAAACCCTATGTCATTAAAACGACCGAATTTTCGCCAACATCGGTCCGTTTGAGTTAATTTTCAAGCACTTTTTGGCACATACAGGGTGGTAGCTTAGGCATAACTTGGCGAAGTTTGTTTTTCAAGTGCTCAAGAGCTCATGATTTATTCGCATCAACACGGTCCCACCATCTCGGTGGCCAATTGACATCGCCAAAATGAGAAATTTCTCGCGCAGTAAAGACATATTCGCTCGTGTCGTGTAGCATGTCCATCACGAATTTGTTGAATCCACATATGGTTCAAGACTTGCAATTGAATAGCAGGCAAAGAAAAAAATCGCAAAAAACGCTCCGAATTGACAG